TCCCTGGCACAGGTTTGTGCCGAATGAATGGGGCTTAGCAGAGCTTTCACTGGTGTTTCCTCTTGTGATAACAGGTGAGAAAGCTCAAGTTTTAACATAAAAAAAATAATCATTTATGTATGTGGATTCTACCTAACAGAAGAATATCACAGCCTGAGGCCCTACACTGGCAAGGGGAACAAAGCACTTCAGGCTTCTCCAAGCTCCTTCCTCTACTTGGTGTGAAACCCATGACACCAGACCAGGAAAGACCAGCAGAAGGTGGAAGGTCACAGTGCAGAGCAGAGCAGGTCTTGGTCTCCCAACTCTCCTAGCCTATTGTTTGCTGTCAGGGCATGGGAGAAGCCTGAAACCACTGTACCAGACAGTCCTGAGTATAATATTTGATGCAGTCTTAGAAAACTGAGCCACTCCAGTGTTCTGCTGTGATTTTTTTTTGACATTCTACCTGTGCTAGTGAAAGCACAGCGACAGCAGTCATCCCCAGCTTCCTGACTTGTCACGATATGAAGAAAAATCTTTCAGGCTGCCTTTTACTTGCTTTTCTGCCTTAGCAAGTCTGTGCCCCAGAAGGCAGACAAATGAGTTGTCTCCCAGATGTGTCCATGTTCTTCCCAGAGAGCTCAAAAACCCCTTCTATTTCTCCTGTCTCAGTATCTTCCAAGAAGTACCTCCTGTAGATTTTTCATTGAAACCTCTCCATCAAATAATCTCTTTGTTTTCCCAGTAGTGGAGAAACAGCTGAAGAAGAAAACTTTAGGATAGGTGCACAGAGAATCAATGTGAACACAAATATTTACATTGAGAGTCTTTTTGTTTGTTTTGCCTTGAAATAAGAATGAATAGGTTTATTTACCGTTGGTTTCAAGCTCTCACGATGGATTTATCATCTGAAATAAGAATGCTGAAAAACTTGAAAATTTTTATTGTTTTTGTCTCTATGTAAATGCATAGCTGTGCCTATACAAAGGCATTGTTGAAGTTATAAACTCTGAAGAATCACAGCTGCCTGTTCTAACCTTAAAATATTTTGTTTACAGTAGATTGAAATTTGTCATGCAAAGAAGTCTTTACATTTTTGTTTTGGCATGATTAAATGAACTTCTGATGATAAAAATAATCATCTGTGGAAAATGCCTACGTAAAATAATGTATGATACCTTTAGGAGTATTTTTAATATATCTTCAGGTGTTTCCAGGTTTCTTGCCCCAGATGATCTTGTTTTGAGGTATGCACTGGTAAGATCTTACCTGGAGTATGTGTCCAGGTGTGGAGTCCTCAGTGTAGGAGAGACATAGACCTTTTGGAGCACACCCAGAGGAAGGCCACAAAAATGATCCAAAGGATGGAACACCTCTCCTAAAAGGATAAGCTAAGAGAGCTGAGGCTGTTGAGCCTGGAAAAGAGAAGGCTCCAGGAAGATCTGATAGCAGCCTTTAAGTATCTGAAGGGGAGCTACAGGAAAAAAGGGGACAGACTCTTTAGCAGGGTCTGTGGTGGAAGAACAAGGAGAAATGGCTTCAAGCTCAAAGAGGAAAAAGGGTAGGTTTAGGTTAGATATAAGAAAAAAGTCTTTTACAGTGAGGGTGGTGAGGCACCAGAACAGTTTGTCCAGTGATGTGGTTGATGCCCTGCCTCTGGAGACTTTAAAAGCGAGGCTGGATCAGGCTCTGGGCAATCTGATCTAGCTGTGGATGGCCCTGTTCCTTGCAGGGGAGTTGGGCTAGATGACTTCTAATGGGACCTTCCAACTCCAAGGAAGGTATGATTCTATAATACTTCACAGCTGTGAGAAGCACTATAAAGTAAGCTATAGCAGATAAAGGTAGAAGGATTCTGAAACAGTAAAACGTGTACATGTACTCTGTAGAAACAAAAGTACAGCTTGGTCATGATTTTGGAGGTTGTGTTTCAAGTCTGAAAGTAATTCCCTTTGGAATTACAAATTATGCCATGAGCTTACTTCAAATTACCGAATGTGGCATTATCTTCATAATCTCTTGTTAATTAGACCACTAAGAGTATACCCCATTTATTACTTTCTATCTATACTC